TAATAAATAATAATTTAAATTTAAATATTATTTAACTATTTTGAATTTCCATGTGTGTGTATTTTCATATATATATATACCTATATAATGCTATAGGTAATACTCTAGATAAGCAGCGATTGGACCTTGATTCTCTAGGTAAGACACTTGAGACACCCGACGAACATTGGATCTAACGTTCAGGTCTACTTCCTTGCTATATACCTCGGAGGTTTATTGGGTCATAGGTTTTATTCGAGTTACTTAAGTAGCGTAAAAACTGTGAACGAGATAACTCTAATCATCGCTGTATGGGTTATGTCAACGAAGAAACTTTTTTTTTTGTTTACTTAATAGCACTTTGTTATTTATTTAACGTTTCATAATTTTTGTGATCTGGTTTGATTTTATTATTTAACAATGTAAGTTCGATTTTAGCTGTTACAATATTATTGTATAAATAATCTGTATATATATATATGTGTACGGCAAGGATTTTGCAACAAGATATAAAGTACATCTTACTTACATATTACTTTTCCACTGTTATTGTAATAATAATATATGTTAGTATAATATTTTTTTTTTAATTTCGCTCTGGGTAGTTCTCAGTTTTCTTTTTAATGGTGCTGTGCTGAAAACTTGTTTTTTTCAGGGTTGATTTAATGAGCAAAAGTAAATGCATCAAAGCACTGGTTAATGTCATTATTTCGTAGGGAAATTTTAGGAAGAGTGTTTAAAATTAATTCTCAGTCCGCTAAACCGTTTTATTTTTACATTTTTGTGGTAAATTTACTGGTTTTATCATAAATTTGAAAATAATAGTAAATCCATAGGTATTACATTTATTTTTAATATATTTTCGCAAAATATTTTTTTTACTACTATGAATATCATTTTATTTAAAATGTCTGTTAAAATACCGAACTAAATATTAGGTATAAAAATGAGGAATACACATTATTATAAGTACAAAACCTTAGTTTAAGCAAAAAATAGTCGAGCTTCCTTTTAATCAGGTTACCAGCAAACATAGCATACTAGTCAATACAGTTCAATATAATATTATAAAGCATATTGCATTTATATGAATGACATACAAACCACGGTTATTAGTCGTTCTGATTTAAACTTAATAATTACTTAATAAAGGCTGCGAAAAAATGAAGCCAGTCTGTAACATAAAAATCTTAAATTAATTAGGAAAAAAGATATACGAGTAATCTAGAATTTGTCAAAAATCATAAGATCTATAAAATGGATATGATCTATAAAACGCTGTGTTATAAGATGACAGGGAATCCTAATCTGTTAGTAATTTCATTCCAAGCCACTAAAAGCGGTCTTAATAGTTACACCATGAAACAGTGGTTAATACGAAAACAGATATGAATGTAAATTATTTTTTGATAATATTTATTTAAAATACATAACTAAATGATCTTCGTTCATATACACAGGTGAAATAATTGGCAGATAATTTTCTTAGTATCATCAAAATTATCAAGATAAACAGTAACAAGAATATTGTATTTGATCTTAAGGACTGAATATACTTTCAAAATTATTCTGAATTTATGAACATTTAAATTATTTTAAATTTTGAAGATGCAATTTGCATGTAACTAAATAGATAATTGTTTAAATTGTTTGCAAAGTTCAGAAAAGTGAAGTATCTTGTTGGGGATTTTTAATTTTTTTTTGGGACTGGAGAGCTAAGCCCCTTTAGTTATGCCTATGGCTTCTTTAGACTTTAGACAAATACATGTACATTCCAGTAAATTTTTTTCCCATCATCAAATGAGTGTGCAATGTATGTAATATACTTGCTAAGACGTCCAAGAATGTGTTACTTTTTCGGTTTTGTTTTTGTAGTTCACCAAAGAACACCCAACTACACAACCATAATTCACTTTACCTTTGTAAAATGTACAACATTACTTCTATTCCTATGGTCAAAAAATTTGAAAAAGTCACGATTTAGTATGATCTACCTGTAAATGTATTTAGGTATGACCAGAAACTGTTTTGGTAGGAAACTAAATTTAAAATATATATATATATATATATATATACAGGGTGATCCAACTAACGTAAGACACTCATTTTCTCGGAAAATATGAATATTTTGAAAAAACATTTTTTCCTATTCTTTTAGGTATAAGTTTTACTATATTTTTAAATGCTTCGAACATTTTTATTTTCATCCCTTATACGATAAAAAGGGTCTAAGTTCACGTTTTCAAATGGCAACATATGTTTTTAATTCCATAAATTTGTAGGCAAAAATTTTTAAAATATGTTATCGTTTGAATTATTAATTTTTATCCATCTAGTCGTTAGCTATGACTTTGTAAAGATATTACATTTTCTCTTAAATATTGTTATATTTCTTTGGTATTCCAAAGACCGGGAGCCAATAAAATACTTATTTATGATCGCATTGTCCGATAGATGAGTACACAGATAACCAAACACAATACAATGTTTTGTGATATTTTGTTTGACCAGCGTTTCATATTTATAGATTACCGACTTTTCTAACACACCGTCATGACAGGTAGGTTGACAGACCTATATTGACAGCAGCTAACGAATGGCTATTTAACCACAACAATCAAAAACAGTGGTACAAGTAGGTTGATAACTGCTGCTATGATGATAATACAAAATATTATTATCATTAGTTATCATATTTTTCTACTATCTATGTTCTACATTCAACAAGTAACAGCACAGTACAACAGATCATTATTATGCTATTTGAAAATTATAATTTTTAGTTTTTATAGGTAGTAAACAATAGCTTTAAAATTTGGCTTACAATCTCATAAGTGCATACATTGAATGGACAAGCGTCGCGAAGCGTTACTATTATTTGTTTAGTTATGTTCAATTTATTCAAAATATGTTCTGTGCTCAAATAATTGTTTTAAACAATTTACACTAAATAAGGAATTTTGGATTTAATTTGCTTACTATTTTAATTCTACAGTAAATATTTAAAATGTTGCTTATTTTACATTTATAACTAACTTTTTTTTATTATATAAACAACTTTATTAATAAAAAATAATGCAATAAAGTGGACTGTGTTTAAATGATTAAGATGTCTAAAGACTAGATGTTTGTAAACAGTGTTTTAGGAACCTACAACAAAATCACAGTTAAGTTTGAAATTGTATTAATTATCGATTTAATTTAAGCCGGTAGTTCCAAACTGTGATTCAAAGTACTTTTACTTTTTTTTCTGTTTTCCCCATCCTGTTGGCAAAAAAGATTTGATTTTTCTGTAACTGTAAATTTTTCAACATCATTGATATTTCATTTTTTTTTAAGTCAAGTTACTTCTTATTAAGATCCCGTTAATAAAAATATGGATCAATAGTTTGTGACTCAATTACACAAAATCACACAGTGATACTCAAACTTCAGAAATAAAGTTAGGGTTTGTGTCACGCAAACATTAAATTATTAGAACTTGTCTTTTTTATTTTATTAATAACTATTAAATTAAATAGTTTATATGTTTCTAATCTTTTTATTAGTACTTACTAATTATTATTATAACTTATAAGGTGTATAATGTTATAATAATAGTAGTTCTAAAGCCTTTATAATAAAATATATCTGTTTCAAAAATTTCAAATTGAAAAGTTAATTCTTTTACAGTTGAATCTGCTTATTTTGATTTTATGTATAATCAGTATTTTCTTATTTTTATTATTTTCTTCACTATTTAATATCTAGAAAATTAAAAGCTTAATAGATTTTAGTTGTTTAAAAAGAAAACCATTATTTGATATTTCCTTGTTTACTATACAAATTAAAGTATTGACATTATTAAACTATTATAACGGGTACGTTTTACTAAGATTATGTAAAAGTGGCAATATTAAATCAAAAATAGCCTTAGCTAAATTGTAGTATCTAAATTTCACAATTATTCTGTAATAAAACACATTTTTAAGGATTTAAATTTTATGGAATTTGTACGCGACAAGTTTGTCTGATTTTATACACATACATACATGTATACTATATTTATGTATAAATACAAATAATTATAAAATCAATTATACTAACTTATAATGCATAGTTGTTAAAAATACAATTTGTTTACCTTTAATGATGCAAATAATGGTTAAAAGAATTTTTGCTGTAATGCGTATGCGACAATTTTCCTACTTTAAAGAGTTAAAAAACAATTTTTATTAATTTTTACTGTGTACTTTACAAAATTTGAACATTGATAACACATAGTCAAACAATTGTGTTGATAAATTTCAACGACAAATATATAGTATAGTATAACATTTAAAGAACAATAATAATCTTTTGTCTGATAATATAAGTATTTAACTAATAAAATATTCATAAACTAATTATTAATACAACAATAAATTTAAAAATTACAAATGCTACTATTTTGAAAATATTCAATCAAAAATATTAAACAAAAACAATATCTATACATTTGAAATTGTTCAACTTCTATAATACTGATTTAAATTTTTTTCTTTTAACAATCGTTGGTAATTAAACAAATCTAACAAAATCAAAATTCAATAAATAAAATTAACTATAAGAATTATCTTAGGCAAGTTCAAAAAAATAATTTACTTGATTTACTGAATTCATTAAATACAAATTAATAGAATTACTACTTTTTTAAAGAGAGAATTATTGTACATTAATACATTTGATATAAAATTTAACTTTGATAGCCAAATACCTGTGTCAGTTATAGCTAAAACTTTATGATAAAATATCCGTAATGTATGTCAGACACACAATATATGGGTTATATCATTGTAAGAAATAACTAAACTGAAAGCAGACATTTGAACTACCTTAGATAAGTTTAATCAAATAAAAATAATATACTTACATATTATTATAAATATTGGTATAATCAAGAAGTGATTCCTTGTATGTAGTAGTATGAAATTCATACATTAATTACTGATATTTTTTAAAAATAAATGAAACGGGTATATGAGTATTATCAACCAACATACACAAATACATGCATTAATAATTATTTTAAGTTAACACAACACACTTTTCATTCAAATTGCTTAGTGTTGATATTATACATTCACATGAAAAAATGTCACATTAGAAATAAATGTTTTATACTTATAATTTACACCTTGATATATAATTGTAAGGTCTTGGGTCCGATTGGAAAGACATTTCCATAGCAATTGATATGTCATACTCAAAACCAATTTTACATGATAACATTGGTTTTTAAAAGATGAAATATTTTCAGTAAAAAAGCATTCAACCTAAATTTAAAAAGCTAATTGAAATCGTACTGTATTAAATTACCCATTAAACTCTAATAAACTTACCTATTAAATTAATGCTTTATATTTATAATTTACACCTTGATATAAAATTGTAAGGTCTTCAGTCTTGGTTCCAATTGAAAAGACATTTCCATAGTAATTGGTATAGCCTATTCTCAACGCCATAGATATTTCTGACATGATAACATTGATTTTTAAATGATAAAAGATTTTCGGAAAAAAGCATTCAACCTAAAATAAAAAAGCTAATTGAATTCGTATTGTATTAAATTATCTATTAAACTTTAATACACTTACCTATTAAATTAATGGTGTGTCCAAGAATGTAACGTCAAAATAAAGTCGAGAGCAAATATTATCAATTGATATATTTAAAAAATTATAAAATAACGAGTTATGACATAACTACAATAAGCATGCTATCATATTTACTATAAAGTATAATGTAAATTTACTAACATTTTTTAATTAAGTTTGCAATTTCTCATTTCACTAATGGAAAACGTGTGAACTTCGAAGTCGAAATTTGTTAGCGATGAGGTTATGTACAAATAATAAATATAATGCGATTTTGTACAAATAATAAAATATATTATGGGTACTGGTCACTCGATTATTCCGTGGTAACTGATGCATAGTTTAGATACTAGATTGTTATCCGAGATAACCAGCTAATGACTAGCTCCAGCTAGATTAGGTTAAAGTGTAAAGTCTGTTATCCGTAACAGTCTACCTTTCGTCTAATAATGTATGGTTATTTATTATATCTGATTATGATACGGAATGCGTTAACATCAAATTATTATTATATTTGATGTGATGACCGTCGTAATAAAACTACTTGTCTTTGTCGAATCGAATGAAATTATTAAGAAATATAGACAAAAATTCAAATCTTTACAAAGTCATAAACAGCGAACAAATGGATGAAAATTAAAAATTCAAACGCTAACATTTTTTTAGATTTTTTGTCTTTATATTTATGGAATTTAAAACATATGTTCCCATTTGAAAAAACGAGGTTCGTACTTATTTAACGTATAAGGGTTGAAGATAAAATTTTTCTAAATATTGAAAAATGTAGCTAAATATGTACCTAAAATTTTAGGAAAAAAAAAATTCGCAAAATATTCATACTTTCAGAGAAAATGAGTGTCTTACGTTAGTTGGATCACCCTGTATATATATATATATATATATATATATATATATCAAACAACATGAGTGCTAAAGATGTTATCCTATGCCTTAAAAAATATTGTCTGAAAACTAAAATGCTAAAGTTGTTCACAAATATTATAAATTTGAAATAAAATCATACATTTTTTTTGAACACTTAAAAAAATTATATTCTTGTTATATCTTCATAATTGGGATGATATTTTATCTGCGAGAAGAAATTAAATTACTTAAGTTTGAGTTTTAATTTAAATAGAATAATTCTGAATTCAGGCAGTATGTACTCTTCAGTTATATAATTTTCATTGTCAAATATTGGTTTTTTAACCATTTTATAAACAACTGTACATAATGTGTGTTATATGATTTGCTTTAAAAGCCAGGAAATGTTTACTATTCCATTTAAAATGTATTATAGCGTTTAACGAGTTGATTGCTTAATTAGTTTCAGAGACCATGCAATTCCACCAACATCCTCAAGATGATCCCCACCATCATTCAAGTGAAGTAAGTAGACAAATTATTATTTTTATATAGTTCATAATTTCTAGTTAAAAAAGCTTATAAATTCGTTTTCGCAATCACTCACAAAAAATTACTTACAAGAAGTATACAATCCATATTTAATAAAATATGTATTGATGTAAAGGTTAGGGTAGTTCATGAAATTATTGTTTAATATTGTATTTAAAAGTTACATTAATATTCGATAATAGTTATTACATAATTTTTATTTCATATTTAAGTAACAAAATTATAAAATTACAAAAGTGGTTAAGGGTTTTTTCAGTATTTTATTATTTTATTACTTAACAGCTACTATGCTATTATGTACTTTTATTATTGATTTTTACATTAATTTTAGTCTCGGATAAGACCTTGTTTTTTTTGGGGGAAGGGGAAGGATTCTCAAAAATCTAGTCCACTTTTTTTGTTGTATGGAAAATTTGTTAATTCGATAGTTGTTTAAGAAGTGATATATTTAATTAACAACTATGGTTTTAAACTATTGTACTTATTTTTTTTAGATTTTTAAAAGCTTTAAACAAATCAAAAACAAAATAAAACATTAAGATTTTTCCCTATAAATATATTATTTTATAATTCCTGTATGCAGACAATTTTCAGCTACTTTTTATCATTTTTGTTTTTTTGATTTATATTCCCATACCAGAGAAACAAAACTATTTTGCTGGTGTGACAAAATATGCTGATGTATAATGGGTTAAAACAAGATCGGGCAGGCTGTTAGTTGTTGTATTTTGAGTTTAATTGTTTAACAAATAATCAATGCTAAAGTTAGGTTTAAAAATGTTTTAACTGAGTTTAATTTACCAACCAAACTTAACAACATTCAGTCCGATTTTGTTCAGTTTGTCACATCATCAAAAAAATGTCTTTGAAAATGTTTATACATTTAGTAAACTGTTGGTTTGCTTTAATTTTGATTTGCAGGAATCTATTTTGCCTGATCAGCCTAAATCATCACAGTAAGTTTAACGTGTAGCAAATTATTTTGTTGACATTATATATAATAACAATTTTTTAAAAATTGCATTTAGTTAATTAATAAACCCAATTCAACATTTGTTGTTTTATATTAATTTAATTGAAATGTTGACAAATTGCATGTGCTATTTAAGCATATTATTATTTTTATCTTCTCGTATCTGCTAATTAAAACATAATATTAAAAACTTATTTCTAATGATTTATTTATTTTTTGATTGAAATTAAATTATAAACAATTAGGTTTTTTTATTTTTAATAAAATTACAATTATTCAATTACTATTTTTTTAGGGATAATGCCAAATATAACTCAGATTCAGATGATATAAATAAGAACTTCAAGACGGATTCACCAGGAATTGATGATGGCCAAGTGAACACATTTTCCGTTGGGTAAGAACTCGATGAAAACTGTGTTTTGTTCAACAGTAATTAATATAAAACTAAATGTTTTTTTCTTTATATATGAAATAACAGACCAGATGTGTTTTACTATTTTACGTCGATAAAATCTCAAAAGTCTATTTTTGGCCAGCAGTTGGATTTTACACTCTTTACAGGCATTCTGAAAACTATTGCGGTAGTAAAAACAATTTACACAATATGTATCAGGGGTTCGGAACAAGTTCATTTCAAAATACACTAAGACATAGACTAACATGTCTAAATAGTTTAACCTCTATACAAATTTTTATTAAAATTTTCCATTTTTAACAAGTATTTTATCCGATATTTTGTGACCTGGATAAAGTTTCAAATAGGATAACTGTATAAATTCTCTTTTTAAAATTTTTTTTTAAATTTTCAAGCATGTAAATTATTTCCAGAACGCGTTCTGAACCCCCACTTCTATTTGATAATTATTTGTAAAACAAATAACATATTAATACTTTATTGTGTTGTTAATTTGTTTTTTAGGACAAAGAACAAGGAAGATTAGACGTTTACAAAATTGCCAAGCTAAACAATCTTGTATTGCCATTAAGAGCACAATTGTCAGTTGAAATAACGGTTTTTAATCCATTTCCAAAAACATTAAAAGTGTGTAAAACAATTGAATAAACTTCAAATGAATGTACAAATAAAATTATTGTTAATATATTGTAATACCTACCGTTTTAGGTCATTGAAGTGTTTGGGGGAGGACCTAGTTTTCAATTGGCATTACCATCTGGAAAAGTAAATGACCATAAAAGTGTTTGGAAAATTATGCCGTACCAAACAAAGCCAATAATAAAATTTGTATTTTCCGGGCATACAAAAAATATCTATACAACGAATGTCGGGTCGGTATAAACTCTAGTAGGTAATATTTGCATTGTATACGCTTACTTAAATTTCCTCTAATAATGTGTACAGGATTTTACTAAGCAATCAACATTATTTGAATATTCCGATAAGTATATCAATACTTCCGAAACCGGGACTTTACTATTCAGAACTTGTTATTGACTTTGGCTTTATTTTTAAAAATCGTATGTTGTCAACAAGAGCTCTGAAGTTGTGTAATTCTGCCAAGTCTAGCAACACAGTCAAGGTACCATTAAAAAAAAAAAAAAATATATATATCAGCTTTTGATTTTCGAATATTAATATATTGTAATCTATACTATTGTTGTTGTTAAGAACATCACATCCGATGCTCACTTTGTCACTGTGAGTTTTACCAACGAAGTAGAAGTACCTCCACAGTCCTGTACGACCGGCCACGTTGCTTTGATTACACACTACTGTAAGAAATTACCCAAATAGTTATTTTATTTATAGGCGAACACTATACATAAGCATGATGTGAATGATTACAGGGGATTATGAAAGATACCTTAGCGGACAAACTTACGGACAGTTAACTGTGAAGAGCCTTAAAGGCAGTGAATTGCACGTACCGTATAATGCAATGTTGCTGCTAGGTAATTTGACGTACCAAGAAAATTCTTTGCATTTCGTCATACCCGAAGATAACTCCAAAGATTCGTCTAGTTTTTTCAAAACGTTCACCATAACCAACAACTTTTCATCTGTTTCTGTTGCTATTTCCGAAGTAATATTACAAAAGAACGCCACGCAACATTTTATGGTTTGTGTTTTAAATATAACTGTTTTTTTCAACAATTTGTTTACTGTGATATTAATCGTTACCCCGATATTAATTTTTTTTAGATAAAAGGTTTCAACCCTGTGATTTTAAAACCCGATCAAAGTGTACAGTTATTTCGAATAGTTTGTTTGGACGTGAGAACATTTAAAACACAATTGGTTTCATCGTTAGAACTCAAAACGAACGCTTCAGATTTTACAATTCCTCTTATGGCTTACAAAGGACTACTTTTGGATGTAATAATCGAAAATATTAACTATGCATGCATGTTGCATTATCGTTGTTTTAATTTGGTCATGTTTTAGATTGTACCGGGCAATTTTATTATTCAATTTCCCACTGAAACAATTATTCCTTGTCACACTTATGTTGTAGTGGCTAATATAAACCCAGTACCATTGAATCTTGAAGATTGGGGAACTACGTATACGCCCTACACTACATTGACTTTGGTGGAAATAGAAGAGTACAATAATTCGTCTAAGCACAACAAAGTAAATGAATGGTCACGGCCTTTGATAAAACAAAACTTGGCTATGCCGGTAAGTTATTTAAAAAGAACTATGTTATGTTCGTTTTAGTTTGATGCAGAAGCGATAAGTTATTGGTTTTACAATGGTGTGTTTCTATTATCAAAAATCGTTATTAAATTTAATATTATCACCTTAATTACTTATTGTAAAATTGGGTTGGTTTTATTTTTATAAATTTTTTTTCTTGTGTAATCAATTTAATATAGGACACATAATTTTTTTGAAAATAGTTTTCTTACATTCTTTATTTTTTATTTCTGAATATTACACATTTTCCATTAGAGTGGTAAAATATTCAATAGATTGTTTACAACTTAAAAAATAAAAATAAAAATTATTATTTTATAAGTAAGAAGGGCAATATTTTTTATTGAGAAAAGCCCAAAAAATCATATTGTCTATACAATTATTTATTTATTTTAATTATTTCATTTATTTTATTTATTTTATTCATTTTATTCATTTTATTCATTTTTTTTATTTATTTTTTTATTTTATTTATTTTATTTATTTTATTTTTTAGTTATTTTTTAGTTATTTTTTAGTTATTTTATTACATTCAGTTTTAATAATTTTTAAAGACTATTGACCTCTGCGATACAAACATGCTCTTTCACTCATATGCCCCGACCTCACTGTAGTGGATATTTTTTCTTAAACAAACTATATTTTTAACGAATATAAATATTATCATGATGTAGCCCGTAACGTTACCGGCAAAACATTATGCAATATTTCAACTAATGGTACATCAGGAAGCTAATCAAAAACCGAAAGTCGCTGTTGATGTATGGATCCAAACTCTGTATCAACGTCATAACAAATTGCTTATGTTACCCGAGTTCAAACAAGAATTCCTAGTAATGGACGAACCGTTAGGGTTTAAAAACTGTCACCCGGTAAGTTTATGTCGAAAAAAAAAAGTTTGCACAATTATTTAGCAATTTTTTTTTTTTTGCTTTCCAGGGAACCGTTTGCACAGTAGATGTAATTGTAAAGTCTTGGATAAACAAGACGGTAGAATTTAATTCAGTGACTGATGATGTTTTGGAGGAAAAAATTGCATTTGTATTTTCACCCTCTACGACGATTGGACCTCAAGCCGTATCTTTGCTGGGCAAACTTCGATGGGTTCCCGTAACCCGTAAGAGCTCTGAAAGTTATATCGGATTAAATACAAAGGGTAAGTGATACACAGAGTTCGAAATTCGTCTAAAAACTTTTTAGATGAAGCAATAAATAATAATAATAACTTTTTATTCGATTATTTATTTATAATGCAATTATTTGTTAGAGTTATTTTGTTTCAAATTATTTTATATATATTTTTTTTACAATTATTGTGTATTATTTGTTTGAATGTCTTGTTATTTTAAATTATTTTCTCTTATTATCTATTTTTTCTTCAAAATTATATACAATATTTATAATTTTAAATACAATTATAACCTAAAGCCTCTCGACTTTTAGATTTTTTAAATTGAAAAAGTGATTTTAAATACATTTATATGTAGTTAATACAATTTTTCTTCATCTAAGATAATAATAGCTAACTATCTATAGTACCTATAAAAAAATAGTTATTATCATATTTTATAAATAAAACATATTTTAATTTATTATTTATGTATTAAGTATACTAAAAATTAATTTGTTATTATCCAAGATAATATGTTTTCCGTTATTACCTAATAATAAATAAACAGAATATGTTTTTTTTTTTTTTGTTAAATAAAATGATGAGTACTCATTATTTTTAACAATAATAAAATAAATAGCTATACTGTTGATAAAACTAAAATTACTAAAAACTAAAAATTTTTTCAGAAAAAGCCATGTGGTTATTGAGTGTACAGTTAACAAATTTATTCGAGGCGAGTAATATGGATTTTTCTTGGTTTTACCGAAGACTGGAAAAATATTATGCAAGAATACACAATCAAAACTTTAAACACCATTTCTTATTGGAATCAAGTAAGTTATACAAAAATATTTATTTAATCAATTTGTGTATAACTCTGCGAGGTCTAATAATGACCAATAATAATAAGGCCATGGTTTAATTTGGAAATTATTTTCAATCTTGATTTGACTGCGAATGCATCTTAAAATTGTTGGTTTCCCGAAAAATAATGATGTATACAATAATGATATTTGTCAGGAAATAGCAACAAATCCTCTTATGAATGTAATCACTAAAAAAATATGAACAATTTAATTTTTAAAAAAAGTTTGCATTTTTAAAATAGTATGTGACATATTATTATCAATTTTTAAGAAGGTTTTGCATTAAATATTTTGATGGTCTTTTTTTGTAATCATTTTTTGAAAAAAATAAATTTTATTTAGGCAAGTGCCGTTTGACACGTGCTTACAAGGAAATATAGATTGAAATGTGCCTTTTAGTTTTCTTTAAAAAAGGCGACCTTATTGATCACAGTAGGTATAACAATATTGGAGACAAAATCGGACTTCACTACTTCACTGGTGAATATTTAGCAGTTCAAAAACCATTAGCACTTAAATAGTAGCTGATTGGTTTCTCAAGTTATTTCAATTTTACATTTTCTGGTTTTAAAAGGAATTGAATGGAACAGTGTTTTCCGTACAATTACATTATTACTTAACATTATCACATTATATTATTACTACTTTATTTGAATTTGACAACTGCCTTTTTCAACCTAATTGGGTATGGTAAGTTTATTTTATACCGTTAACAAAATGTTAAGAATGCATCCTGAGAAAGCACCTGCTTGCTCAGAGCACAGTCTCAGCCCATTTTTGCTAAGGGAGAGATTACTGTTGTCTACAGTGATACAGAGAGTTTGAAATCTACTAATGAATGTATTGTCGTATAGTTACTTATGTCAAAACACGCACACTATAAATAAATTATCTTTTTACCATTTACCCGACACTAAGATGCCTCTTATAAGTGGTGCAGAAAAGTGGTTTAGCTCTAGTCACTGCTTAGGGATTAATTCTGCCTCAGGGTATATTCCATCCAAATCTCAGTCTTCCGATTGTAAATAGTAATTCCCCGAGGCTGTTAGATTGTCTAGCAGTTAACTATGATAAACGATGTACTATCCTGACCTAAGTACTGATAGCTTGTAAGAATTCGGAACCATACGACGAAGTCGGTTCTGATCTAGATAGAAATATTAATGAGCTACTGGTTACATAAAACTTAAAGAGCTTTAGAGGTATCCATGAATTTAAATACTAATTTGACCTTTAAAAATTGTCTTCACTTGTAAGGCAAAAATGAGCTGGGCCTGTGGTCAGAGCAGGCAGGTGAATCAGTTCACAGAGGATTTCTAAAATTTTGTAAACAGTATAAGTTAAACTTTATTGAAGACTTGACGTACCTACCCAGTTAGGTTGAAAAAGGCAATTGCCGAATTCTTCCTGTGACACATCTAAGTAGAAATGATATAATGTAATGAGCCTAATGCAATCTTGCCGTATTCAAATTCTTGAAAACCAGAAAATATAAATTTGAGATATCTCGAGAAACCGATCAGCTACGATTTAAGTGTAAATGGTTTTTGAACGTCTAAACATTCACAAATGTAGTAGTGAAGTCCGATTTTGTTATACCTATCGACGATTAAAGACCACTGAGTGAAATAACATCAAACCAAAAATTCAAGATTACCCTTAATGTATATTTAATTGTATCTTTTTTCCAGCTAAGAAAAATAAATGTCAGTTCACTGCAATTTTTAACTTGAAGTGGCCAAAATTTGTCCAAAATGAATTGACGACCGAAAAGACCAAAGACTCCCTTCATCAAACCACTTTCGAGATTCTGACCGCGGAAGTGAATGGTGCGCCGCAATATCAAAAGATTGTCGTTAAAAATACATTTAAGAGTCGCAACTTAACTATGCAATTTGCTATGTACACCAAGCCGTACAAATGTAAGATAACCGATATCATAAAACTACACGAACACGAGTATGATTTTTTTTAATCGCAATTTAATCGAATAACACTATAAGTATATATTAACAAAAAACGTTGAATATGTTTAGGGTGCACTCTTTAAATGTTTCACGAGACGATTGGGAATTAATGTTGACGAATACTAGTCCTTACCGAAAAAAAGTTTCAAATATAAGAGACACGAAGTTTGCCGTGCACAATCAAACTATGTTTTTCGTTTTACCTCCACAGGAGCAACTCGAGGTATCGGTAAGGTTTTGGCCTAATAAACCTGGCGACAGTGCAGCTGTTTTGTTCATTAGGTAAGTAAGTGATGCTAATTTGTTTATTTAGGTGTAAAACTGTGTAAAATGTTATTTCAGAAATGACGCATCAATTCTTGAAAGTGTTTTACTGAAGGGTAAAGGCGTTCATCCGGCGCTAAAGCTGCGGTCTTACGATGAGCCGACTAAAGTAATTTTTGATTTAGGATCAAAATCTATAATTAAAAGTTTTTGTAACAAACGTGAGTTCATTTACATCGATACGACTAAAAGAAAAATGCAGCTTTTTAATGCCGTTTTTTTTTCTTTTTAATAGAGAATTTGGTATCATTTAATCAAACGGAGACTAAAGACTTGGAATTAATAAACCCCTACAACCGATTTGTTATCGTTTCTGCTATGAAGATAAACGGTGTTCCTTGCGGTGTTGAAGGAATCAGGATTTTGAATTGCAATAAGCTTGTTCTTTTCCGAAGTCAACTAAAGAGGTATAAAATATTAATAATTATAATTACAACGGTGCGGTTGATTAAATTAACAGTCTGTTAAGTTAAAATCACTTTTAGTTATACAAATTTTTGACAACTGTGACCACCATCATCATTTTGTAAAAATCAATTAGTATACAACCAAATGGTCTTATAATTTATTACTAAAAAGTAAATAGCTTAAACGAAATTTTTAAAATTTGTTTTATACATTATGTTTACAGGTGTCTATTGAGTTGCACGTTGATTTTACGTTAAAATATATAAACTTTCAACTGGAGATACATTCATTAGAACGCACAGATGGTTCAGAAAATACTAATCAGTATTATAAGTATGACTTATTTGCTGTCATGCCAATAGAACGGAAAATCTGTCAACATGATGCATATACATCGGTCCATCCTAATCGTGGTCATGATAGCAAAAGACTAATATGGTTACATAGACACGAATTAATCATAATTATTTTACCATTAACATTGGTCGTGGGTGTATCACGTATAACAAGATATTTAATTTCTAACGGTTATATACGTGTTTAAATTACTAATAATAAAAATATATTTGTGAATTGTTTTAAAAAAAAAAAGCATAACTTTGGTCTTGGTACCCAGGCAAGATCATCTTTCTCTTGAAGGGAAATATTAAAATTTAAGTAACATTGTTTTAATCCTCGCAAATTTTACAATAAGTGTTTTTACGTTGTAAAATTATACTGAACTAATAAATAAAAAAAATGAAAAGTTAATAAATAAGTTAAATGTTGTTTTTTCTAAAACGATACACTACTCAATATTGATTTTCCTTTGAAGTATACACAAGTTATGCTTCTTGAAATGAAAGCTTCGGTGATACACAAGTTCATGGTTCATGGCGTAAGCGCTTTCATAATCATCATCATTCAATTTCAGTTATTTAAATTTATCTTCTGGAAACCTTAAGTAACTAAAAAATTTTTTTTTTTGTTGCACATACAAATATTATGTACTTCAACAATTTGTCGTTATTAGTCTTATTTATAATCAGATAATAGCCCGAAGAGTTTGGTTTAGAGCAGGTTTTACTTGTTGTAGGAACGTTTGCCTGTTATAATATTTATACAAAACTCATAATCATTTTCTTTTTTATTGTGTAAAAAACATTTATTTTATAAAATGTGTTATCTGTGATGTTTTAAGATATTCGTTGTATTTTTTTTTTTTTTTTTTTAGATGGATAAATAAGTCATAACATTATATAATATTTAAAGTTACAGTTCTTTTTGAACAAATCTAATAATCTCAGCAATTGCATTGATGCGTAAAAACTAATATTTAAAAAAAGATGTTTTGGTTTTATACAAATTTGCAGAGATGTTGAAGATGGATTTATAACAAAGTTGTGTATACCCGTGAGAAACCGGTAACGGTTACGTTCTCAAATAATACACTACCCATCACTGGTTTCTCATTGGTGTTACACAAGTGCATGCTTCAAGATGTGAGCGGTTTTACAATCATCATCATTAACTTTTGGTTGTTTGAAGACGGACTCAAAAGGCCACCTACTTGTAAAAAACTTGGGTACACCCGTGGGAAACCAATTTTAGATACGTTCTAATATAATACACTATCAAATTTTGGTTTCCCATTGGTGTTACACAAGCTTATGCTTCTTGAGGCGAGAGCATCTTCTGGAAACCTTAAGACGTTCCTGGCAATTTTGATTTGTTTTTTTTTGTTGTAACAAATACAAATGTTATGTGCCAGTATAGGTTATGCTTGGTCCCCAACTTTACTGGCTTATTCGGATAACATCACTTTCAAATAATCGTTTTAATGCTAATTTGTAAACACTGCACCTCATTTTAATCCGTTCTTATTGAGCTGGTTCATACTGTGCTTGGTTTGGACTTTACCGGCTTGAACTTACTATCCACAGATTCGCATCGAATTGTTTATTAAAAAGTGATTTTAGTTATAATAATTTCTGTAGACCTGTGACCTACCAGTCCCCACTGTGCCCCGATCCCACCTGTACTGGCATATTTTTACATGTTATTCTTTCTTGTTTAATATACCTAACAAAAACGTTGTAACAAAGTGTTAAATTGTATTCACAAATTAATAACTCATATAGAAGGAAATAAATAGTTAATTATTATCCAGAGTAGAAATCTTATTGTATAAACAATACTGTTACAACAGTTTGTTTAAAAAAAAAAAATTGGATTTTTTTTTTTTTGTAAATTTTATTTGTTTATTTGTAAATTAGTATTTTATTAGAATCAGTTAAGTTGTGTAAAAAAAAACTATTAAAATTATTTTAAGTTCCTACAACAGCTCAAGGGAAAAACAATAATATAAGTTTTAACTATTTACAATTCATTTATAATTTGTGTTTAGGGCCGGTCGTCTGTTGCAAAAATAATGAATATTACTCGTTCTGTTATTTTTTGTTATAACAAATTTCCATAGCCTAACAATGCAGAGATTTCTTAGACCCAATTTAAAAACCTTTAGAAAACACTAAAAAAGATAAAAACGTGAATATATTGCCTAATGTTATAATATGGCACTAGCAAAGAGCATGTTTTCAAATAGGAAAGCAACAAATTTGCCATTGTCTTAAGAGCAAACTAGTGTAGGGAATTAAAAGAATTAGCCGATATCTTTTTAAAATAAAAATGAGATGACATCCAGTAATTCGGCAAAAACCCGCCATAAACTTATAAGTTAATTTTTACTTACTATTATGCTGTAACTCTTACAAAAAATATCTTACATTCAAAATGGTATCATAATTATACGAATTGCAGTTCAATGTGAACATAGCAGTGTTTAGTAAAATCGTAGGATGGATTGACAACGCATTCGCTTACACTGCTAAACACACGTGTACAGCTACAAAAACATTATATGAAAAGTTTGAATGTTAGTGTAAGTCAACAGTGTCCAATTGAAAAAGAAGTCAACAAAATAAATATCAAATATTATTATATTATAATTTATGTACAGAGTGATCAATTTAATTTAGTAATTATCTAAAATTGGTTATCGACCAATTGAATTATTCAACAAATTATTCTTAATTTTAAATACTAGTTTATATATTATACATTATTATCATGCGTATGCATTATTCATGTTTTAAAAGTACATTGAGTTCTGGAGAATATTGAAAAAAGAAAATATTGATGATATACATTTATAAGTGATTTTATAGTATTGTACCTAAAATAGTGTACCTATTAAAAAAAATGTCCTAAAAAAAAAAAAAATTATAAAATTGTTATTACATTTTGAGAAAATGAGTATTTTATATATTTGTTTATTATAGTTTTGAGAAAATTGTGTATGTTATAGGCCCATTATAGATCTACTTCCGGTCTAATTTTATAGACCAAAATCCTTAAAACTTTGCTTGAAAAAGTGAATTAAAGAAAAAATGTCTATCCCTTTTAAGCGAAAGGGCTTAGAATATTTTTTTAGTTTGTCAATGTTAATCTGTAGCACTATGTTTCAAGAATATTCCCTACAAATTTAGAACTAATTCGACTATGTTCGACTACAAAAAGTTATAGAGCATCGTAATTTTAAGTTTAAAAAAATGTACATTTTTTGGGTGTTTTCCCGGATTTTGAAAAGGAAGGGGTGACCTTTTAAAATGTTGGATTGAACAAGTACTTAACAGGTATGATTTTTGATCTATAGAGTTGCTATACAAAGAAATCGGTTCAGCGGCTTAGAAGACATCGTGGGTACAGACCCAAAAATATAAAAACACATCATTGTAAATACAATACCTTCTCAGATCCGCATCGAAGCTAAATTAACTAATGATATGCCAATAAGGGAATATATAATGTATATATTATAGGTATATATCTTATTTAAAACTGAAGACCTAACCTAACCTTACCAATAGCGCATATACGTTTTTTTTTATTATTAACAGAAAATGTGTTTTTAACAATTTCTACCATGACTTAAACTGTTGTTTACAAAATTAAAATAGATAAACGAATAGTTTTTTCTAAGAAGCAATAAAAACGGAAATTATGCAAAACATTTCCTCCCCGGCGGGGAATCGAACCCCGGTCTCCCGCGTGACAGGCGGGGATACTTACCACTATACTACCGAGGACTTGTTTGAAAGTTACAAAATAGAGTAATTCTAAATCAAATGTACATTAACCACAGTGCTTATTGTTATTAATTTAATAGAATATTATATGAATACGAATCTGCTTAGTAAACTTACTCAGTTTTCTATTAGATAAACAATTCTGTTAGAAAAATAATAAATTTTATTTTTGTCAAAATGTAGTACTAACTCTTATCACTTATGACTTATCAGTATTGTTTTCATTTACTGTTATTATCACAGATTTTTATCTTTTCTGTGGCGGTTATTATACACCTAGGACCAACCCTATTCCCCTACGCCTGGTATATCTACAGATTAACTTACAGATACACATCAAAGCGTTTATTTGAAAGTGATTTTATCGCTTTCAGTTGAGTGTAATAATTTGTTTAGGCCTATGACCTCCCCCATTACAATGTGTGCCTATTATAGTTTTAACTCCATCCGACATCATTTGGCTACATAGGTAAGTTATAGCAAGTGAAAGGTAAAATTTGTAAGACCTAACCGGTTTGAAAGTAATGCGGTTAACTTTTCTTCTTTTGTCCTACCATAGTGCCAATTGAGATGCTACTTGAGTAAATCGGTTCACAAGAAAAATAGTCACAGTTTCTTCAAAAACAAAAACAAAACCCACCATTATAAAATCAATACCATATCAGGTATGGTATTAAAGAAGCTAAAAAACATTTAATTGTACTCTTAGCTTACACGGGTATCACAGAAAGTAAATATGTAAATTTGGAGCCAGTACTTTATGAACTTGTGTGAAGTTAGCCATAAACAAGCCAGCAAATATTAATAACATAAAGACGCCTAAGTATACGTTTTTTTTTAAAATAATTATAAACAGAAAATATGTTTTTAACAATATTTACAATAGTGACTTAAATTGTTAATTGCAAAATTAAAATAGATTAACGAATACATTTTTCTAAAAAGTAAAAAAAAACGAAGAAAAATGCAAAAAGTTTCCTCCCCGGCGGGGAATCGAACCCCGGTCTCCCGCGTGACAGGCGGGGATACTTACCACTATACTACCGAGGACTTGTTGTGATCTGATAAAATATAGTAGTTTTAAATCGACAGAACATTAACCATTAATCACAGATCTTAATATTATATTAATAGAATCCATATAATAAACGTAACCGATTATCCGGAAAACAAGTTAACGGTCAACCGGTTGTAACGATGGGTAGTCGGTTCAATCGGGTTTCCAGGTTTGGTCAACCGGTTAATCGGTAAATCGTAAAACCGTATTAAAACCGGTTATTATAATACAATTGTTTAATTAATTAAATGTCATTTTGAATTATAAATATATATTTTAATTATCTTAGAGAAAATTATAGTCATTCGATTATAACAAAAAATAAATTTACAACATAGCGCATACAATAAATATGTATAAAGAAATATAGAAAACAAACAAAACGAGTACCTATATTAAGTAAATATATAAACATACAGGCAAACAACTAT